TCTTTTTTATCTGATTTTACTTTCTGTCGGTATCCAAAATTTATTTCGTTTTGTCATACTTATACATTTATATTTATTTCTTGATAGACTTGATTATAAATGCATGTTGGGAAGAGTCTGTTGAATTATCGTCATTAATTCATATATTTTGATATTAGAAAACTTAAAATTTCGATACAGTTTTTGATCAAAATTCGTTTTCTACTTTATTTCGGATTTGAATATTTTTTTGCGTTTTTTAAAAAGGAATAGTATCTTTTTTGTTGTTGTTGTTGTTCTGTCTGAATGATCTGGAAAAGATGAATGGTTTTATAATAATTTAGGTTTCTCTAAATTACTCACATGTATAAAAAAACCCCGCACGCACGCAAGAATGTGATATATATATATATATATATATATATATATATATATATATATATATATATATATATATAGAGAGAGAGAGAGAGAGAGAGAGAGAGAGAGAGAGAGAGAGAGAGAGGAGAGAGAGAGAGAGAGAGAGAGAGAGAGAGAGAGAGAGAGAGAGAGAGAGAGAGAGAGAGAGAGAGAGAGAGAGAGAGAGAGAGAGAGAGAGAGAGAGAGAGAGAGAGAGAGAGAGAGAGAGAGAGAGAGACGACAGACAGAGAGAGAGAGAGACAGACAGAGAGAGAGAGTTAGTGTGTATATTAGCGTGTGTGTGTGCTTGTGTTTATGCGTGTATGAGTGAGTGAGGGGAAAAGGAGGGGAGGGGCAGAGAGGAGGGTGAAGGGAGGAGAAAGAGAAGGAGGATGCCTGATTCTGAGTGTGTGTATGAGGGCGTGCATGTGTGCGTGCGTGAATGAGTAATTTGTGTGCGTGTGTAAACTAATATCTATGCAGATGTACCTGTATACGTGCATATGCTTTGCACATTTCTTCAAAAGTTTATGCCATTTTCATTCTGATTTTTGGTTTGTTCATGTGTAAATAGGACTTCAACATTTTATCCTACATTCTACGTAAATAAGTGTTACATGAAAATCTCTATACGGTGTGGCACAAGAGCTGTTGAATTCTCGCTTTATGAACCAAACATCTTTTAAACTCATCACGCTTTGGTACACTTTCTTCACAATTAGTTCTTTTTAAATAACATCAAACAAAATCGTTTTACTTTTAGCATTTATTATTTTTCACTTTGAATTTAACATATTACATCAAAATCTATATGAATCTATTCCTAATTCTAGAGAATATATCCCTTATGAAAAAAAAAATGCATCATATATAAATATTTCTTTTTCTCTTTCTTTTTTTTTAACATCTCTTTGTCAAAATGCTTCAGTCATAGCGTGTTCCTGTTGGTAAATCATGTATTCCTCTGATGCATTTATAGACACAAAACAATCTCTCGTTCCATTCTCTTTTCATTATTTCAGGGCATGATTTCGCTAATGAAAATGTCCTCGCTCGCCCTGGCCTCGGGGAAGGCATACCTGACTGAACATGTAGCCTGCACGTCAAAGGGTAGGAAATGAAAGCCTGCATTTTATCAAAAAGCGTAATATATTATGCGTTATGTTACACAGTGTTAAATAATATCAAGATATACACATCGGCATGTCCTAGAGGTACATCGATCGCTCATATACTTTCATAGGAAGGAACCCTATGCGTACATGAATCTGTCTATACGTACATAGCTTTGAAGGCGCATGCACATGGTGGGCGCGTTCACACAGGACGTACATGGTGCTAGTAGACAGCACTGGGTGAAGTCACTGTAGTTAATAACAGAACACACACTGGCCGGCCGTCATGGCGAGGCGGCCGCCAGCTTCACTTGGCTTGTCCTCTTTGGTTTCACTAGATATTGGGCGTGCCAGACGCCCGTAGTTCCTGTCGCTTGGGCGCGGTCTCGCCGCCCCTCCCGCCCGCGGATCCTTGCAGGACGGCGTGGCTAAGGAGGGGGGGGACGCGCCGTAGGAGGGAGCTCGAGGGGGCGGGGAACACTGCCATTATATACGAATGAAAAAAATGATAATCTAATGATAATTATGATCCAAGAGAATGGTCGGTCCCAGAAATGCTCCGCGGGCGGCGCAGGTCCTTCGCGTCGCGGTCCTTCTGCCTCTCGTCCTCCCAAAGGCCTAGCCCCCAAGTCCTCAATACTTGGTGGCGTCGTCGTAGTAGGCCGGGTACTTGTAGGAGGCGCGGAAGCCCAGCTGGCACGAGGGGTTGGTCAGGAGGCGCTGGGACTCGAACATGTCGCGCACGTTGGGGAAGCCCCCGTCGCCGCCGCCTGCCGTCGAGCCCGTCTCCAGGGGCTGCGAGTACCACGAGCCGTGCGAGCGCGAGTAGGCCGCCGCCGCCGCCGCCGCCTGCATGGTCATGCCTCCCACGGCCGCGGCGCCCCCGGTGGTCACGGTGCTGCCGCACGCGCTCATGTCCTCCGCGGCGGCCGTCGGGAAGACCGACGGGGCGCGGGTGTCGCTGTACTGGCAGTAGCCCATCGTGTCGTAGTACATGCTGGAGCGGTACTGCTGCTGCGCCTCCGTCAGCAGCGCCCCGGGGGAGGCCTCGCGCCCCACGTCGCGGCTCCCGGGCACCAGCGAGTCCACGCTGAAGGAGGACCCCACCTCCAGGTACGAGCCCTCGTGGCCGGCGCTCGCGGACGTCGTGGGCAGCGAGGTGGGCGGCAGGTGGGCGTGGGTGTGTAAGGGCGGCGTGTGGGTGTGATTGTGGAGAGGCGGTGTGTGCGTGTGGGCGTGCAGGGGCGGCGTGTGGGCGGCGGCCTTGACTTCCGGCAGGCATGCGGGCGGGAGGTCCGGGGAGTCGAGGGGCTCCGTCTTGGGCTGGCAGAGGGGCGACAGGGGGGTTCCGCCCCCCACCTGCCCGCCCTCCCCCTCCTGCGGCCCCGACACCACCGACCGCGGCTGCTGCGGCGGCTGCGTCGGGGGCTGCTGCTGGTGCGGCTGCTGCTGCTGTGCCTGTTGCTGCTGCGGCTGCGGCTGCGACTGCTGCGTGATGCCCACGGCCGTGGCGTCCGCCTGCTGCGTCCGCGGCTCGGTCTCCGTGCCCGTGGGCGTGCCCTGCGTCTCCTGCTGCCGCTTGAGCGCCTCGTCCTTCTCCCGGATGGCGTCCTTCTTCTTGAAGCGCTTCCGGCGGCGCAGGTACGAGCCGTTGTCGAACATGTTGCGCGCCTCGGGGTCCAGCGTCCAGTACGAGCCCTTGCCCGGCTTCTTGTCGTCGCGCGGGATCTTGACGAAGCACTCGTTGAGGCTGAGGTTGTGGCGGATGGAGTTCTGCCAGCCCTGCTTGTTCTCGCGGTAGTAGGGGAACCGCTCCATGATGAACTGGTAGATGCCGTTGAGGGTCACGCGCTGGTCGGGGTTGTTCTGGATGGCCATCGTGATGAGCGCGATGTACGAGTACGGCGGCTTCACCATGTCCTTGGGCGGCGTGTGCTGCTGCGGGCTGTAGCCGTACGGGTGGTAGCGGCTCATGGCCGTGTAGCCGTCGTAGCTGTAGGCGTTGGGCGTCATGCTGGACATCTGCTGCAGGGCCGCCGGCGGGTAGGTGGCCGCCGGGTGCCGGTAGTAGGACTGCTGGTCCCCGAACAAGGTGTGCATCTTGACGGGGTACGTCGACCACTGGTCACACATGGCTGCACAGCATAATATGGCCTACCTCCGGGAGGTAGACCGCCGGCCCTTCGCGAGGGACGCCGAGGGGAGCCGCCGGGGCGCTCGGGAGCTGAGGGAGAGTAGCGGCGGTGCGGGCGGTCGCCGCTCTCGCCCGGCCGCCTGCGATCTCACCTGCGGGCGGCGCGACGGCGGTGCCCCTTCCTTGGCCTCCTCGCCTCGTCCTCACGCTCGCACGCGCCTCACAAGCTCACCCTCGGCACAATCTCTACACTAACCAACCTCGATGCGTGGATCCTCGGGCAAGGGCCGTGCTTGGGCGGGCGGCGGGCGGCAGGAAACGGGCGGTGGGCGGACGAAGGCGGGAGAATCGTCTTGGTCGCCGTTCTCGTCGTCCGCGGGCGCCGTTCGCGTAATCCAACTTCGGCTCACAATCGGGCGGGCGCGGTCACACGCTATGTGCACTACGAGAGTTCCTTATACAAATCGGCTGCACCTCGTAATCTTTCTTAAGAAAATTCTTGGCTCGTGGCTTGATTAAAATCGTGAAAACACATCGGCAGTCTTTTTCTTATGATTCCAACAATGCTAAAGAAAACAGTGTTGTTGCTATTCTAAACACCACAAGAATTAGTAGCGGCTGCTAAGTCAACAAGCGTCCACCACCGCACAGTGTTACTCTCTGGTTCCGCTCCAAAGGCCGACTGAACTCGCTTAAAGTCTCGGAAAATTTACTTTAAGCCAACAGTTTAATCCTTCGCCATGTTATATTTTTGGCCCCGCCCACGAGCGCCTCGGCCAATCCGCGCGCGGGTTAGCTTCTCGCCCGCCGCTGAATGGCTGCCTATTGTCACCGGCAGCCAATCGCCGCGCGCCTCTCCTGAGTTATGATCTCCGACTCCGCCCACTGATATCAGATGATTGGTAAGCGAGGCGAGCGAATTACGTGGTCCTTCCCCTCGCAATTTTCCCCCTTTAATCTGAGGGACAATTCCCAAGTCTCAGAGGGTAATTTGGTGCCAACACTTCTAACCCCTCGGCCCGGCACGATAATCCAGGGTAAAGAGATTAGCTGCGGCTCAATAAAAGTTATCTAAACAGAGCGGCGGGGGGTGGAGGAGGAGGAGGAGGAAGAAGAGAAGGAGGAGGAGGGACAGAGGGGAGGAAGGAAAGGAGGAGGGAGAGGGAGAGAGAGAGGGGTTCGGCGTAGGATGGAGTAGGAGATAGAGGGAGGGAGGGAGGGGGGGGGGTCAGAGAGGGAGGGAGGGGGAGGAGGAAGAGGAGGAGGAGGAGGATGCCTGAGTCTGAGAAAACACGTCGGGGCCAAAACAGGTTTACACAGCGGTTTTAACAAATCCCGCGTAATAAAGTCGGTTTGGGGGCCAGTCTAGCTAACGGAAGAGACCTCGCCCCTCTGATCACATCCAGTCTTCAACTTGTGGTGTCGGTGGGCGTGCTGGGTGGGCGGTGGGCGAGCGGGGAAAGCCTCGGAAGAACGGACGACGCGACGTTATAAGGCCCCACGTTCACCCTCCTACGGCGGCGGCGGCGAGACAAAACGAACGCTTTTAACAGTACAGTTATTTCTTTTTCTTTCTCCCTCTCTCACTCTCTCTCTCTCTACGCCTCTCTTCCCCTCTCTCTCTCTCCCTCCCTCCCGAAGACGCGCGTCCGGTAGTTAAAGGAGGCGGAATGTGATCGTAAAAAAAAAATAAAGGAACTCATAAAAATGAGTTTTATTCCAGCGACACCGCTAGACTCCGCCCCTCTCCCGCCGCGCTTCCACCGCCATCGAGATCCTCCAGCAGTGCGCCCCCGTGTGTCGAGCGGCCGCCTCTCCTCTACGGAAACTATATTCCGATCCTTGCGGAAAAAAAAGGTTAGTAAAAATCAAATCCCACGCCCTTCCTTGTCTTTATTTCGACTTTTTTTTTCTATGAAGACCCAAAAAAATCCTTCACTTTCTTCCCTCTTCTTCTTCCTTCGCCCCCCCCTTTAAAAAAAAAAATTAATATACCTCGTACCTCGTTTTAAGAAGAGAAGTTTCAACCATTTGCAAGGCCTGCGCTGAGCTCGGCGGATAGATCGACTCCCCCCTTTTCCAGAACGTTCCATGGCGGTTCGTGGCTCGCTTCGCCGTCCATTCATAGAGGGAACGTTAACGGCCCTCGCTTCCTATTGGCTTAGCACGGTATCGATTTTACGTCGCTTACACAAACAAAATTCCTCCTCTCTCTCTCTCTCCCTCTCTCTTTTTTGAATACAGCGTCCACGGAAAGATATAATTAATAGCGTAATGTTGTCTTTGGTTTCATTGTTTTTAAGGATATCGATAGAGGTGTTGTTGTTGTTGTTGTTGTTGTTGTTGTTGTTGTTGTATGCGCGGGAACAACTCTATTAAATGAAATGGGAGGTCGATTCTGCGAAGAAAATGGTAGCGGAGTCTATCAATTTGATTTTGAATGTTGCAAGATATTTTTTCCTTATTTGTGAAAGAAAATAAATGGCACTAGATATTTAAATCCTAAGAAAAGATAAACAGAATATTGTTACAATTATGTTACATATTTTGATTAAGAAAAAAGGAAATAGATATCAAGAGTGTTAGAAAAAATATATATATACACATTACTAATAATAATAATCAACATACATTTCTTTTTTACTCAACAAAGAATTGATAGAATTGTGAGGAAAATAAAGAGAATAATTCTAGCAACAAGTATGATGATAACAATAATAACAATCTTGATAATAAAGTTGTATTAACAGAAATTATTTTCATAGAAGTTTCGTTAACGGAAAAATAAAGATAACCTTTATTATTATTATTATTGGCAATAGTAAGAGCATTTTTATTATTATAACTGTCATCATGATTATTGTTATTTATAATGTGTTATTTTTGGTACATTTCTTATTGCCATAAAGACCATTTTCCCATTACTGCAGTAACTATTATGCTTAGAGTTGAAGTATTATCAATAACATTATCATTATTATTATTGTTGTTGTTTTTATTGTTATCATTATTGTTTGTTGTTGTTGTTATCATTATTTGTGTTGTTATCATTAATATTGATGTTCTTATTATCATTCTCTTTATTGTTATGATGAGGAGGAGGATTATTACTGTTGTTTTTTTATTATTATTATATTATTATTATTATTATTACTATTATTGTTATCATCATTTTATCATTATCGCTGTTGTTGTTATAATTACTATTATCATTACCATTATTAGCAGTATTATCATTATGATTATAATCATTAGCGTCATCATTATCATTACTATTATCATTATTGTTATCATTTCTATTATTTTTATTATTATCTTTATTATTATTATTATTATTATTATTATTATTATTATTATTATTATTATTATTATTATTATTATTATTATTATTATTATTATAACTATTATTATTATCATATCATTGTATAATTATTATTGTATTTCATTATTATTATTAATTATTATTATTATTATTATTATTATTATTATTATTATTATTATTATTATTATTATTATTTATTATTATTATTATTATTATTATTATTATTATTATTATATATTATTATTATTATTATTTTATTATTATATTATTGCTGTTGCTGTTGTTGTTGTTATTACTATTATCATTTTCATTATATTATTGTTATTGTTTTCTATTTGTTGTTATTGTTATTTGGTATTAATACTATTATTATTATCATTATCATTATTATCATTAGTATGCAGTTAGTAGTATTGTGTTATCGCTATCAGTTTTTTATATCATTGTTGTTGTTGTAATTATTTATTATTATTATCAATATTATAATGCTGATAATAATTTATTGTTATTATATTATCATTGTTATTATTTATTATTATTATTATTATTATTATTATTATTACATTATTATTATATTATTATTATTATTATTATTATTATTATTATATTATTATTATTATTATTATTATTATTATTATTATTATTATTATTATGTTATTATTGTTATTATTTTTATCATCATTATTATTTGTATTTGTGTTTGTATTATTATTACTATTATCATTAGTATCAATATTATTAGTAGTATTATCCTCATTATCATTAACATTATTATCTATTTTTTTTATCATTATTTATTATTAATTTGTTATCATCATTTTAGTATCATTATTATTATTATATTATTATTATTATTATTGTTATTTTATTATTATTATTATTATTATTATTATTATTATTATTATTATTATTATTATTATTATTATTATTATTATTATTATTATTATTATTATTATATTATTTATTATTATTATTATTATCATTGTTGTTGTTGTTGTTGTTGTTGTTGTTATTACTGTTATCATTATTTTCTGTAATTATAATTATTACCATTTTTATTGTTATTGTTAACATTATCATTATTGTTGATATTATTATAATTGTTATTTCAATTATTGTTATTGTCAATATTATCATTATCATTATTATCATCATTATTATTATTATAACTACTACTACTAATATCATTATCATTAATATTATCATTTTTATATTTATTATTATCATTATTATCATTGTTAATATAATTATAATAATTATTATTATTGTTATCTTTATTATCATGTCTATTATCATCATTATCATCATTATTTAATTTCAATCATTATTATCGTTGTTGTTGTTGTTATTGCTGTTGTTACTATTAATACCATTATTATTATCATTATTACTTGTTATATTACAGTATTATTACATTATTTATTATTATTATTATTATTATTATTACATTATTATATTATTTATTATTATTATTATTATTATTATTATTATTATTATTATTATTATTATTATTATTATTATTATTATTATTATATTATTATTATTATTATTATTATCATTATTATTATTATTATTATATTTATTATTATTATTATTATTATTATTATTATTATCATTATTATTATTATTATTTATTATATCATTATTATTATCATTATTATTATTATCATTATTATCATTATTATATATCATTATTACCATTATCATTATCATTATTACTGTTCATACTTGTAATGTCGTAATCTTGTTCCTGTTATTGCTGTCGTTGCCATAATTATCATTATTGTTATAATTACAATTATCACCACTGTTATTATTATCATTTCTGGTATTATAATTGTTTCAATAAAGACATAATGATGATAACAACAACAATTCAAATATCTAAAATGATAATGATAGTAATAATAGCAATATTATTATTAATGACAATGATAATAATACTGCTGCTACTGCTCCTACTATCAATGATATTGATAATGATAATAATAATAGAATTATCAATTATTATAGTTATGATACTAATGATGATGATATTAATAATAATCATCTTTATTATTTTCAATATTGGTGTTGTTTTTTTATTGTTATCATCACTGTTGTTATTGTTATTTTTGTTTTTATTATCATCATCGATATTATTACTATTATTGTTTTACTTACCGTCATTATCATTTTTGTTATCACTCCTATCATTATTTACATAATCATTGCTATAACAATTACTACTATTATCATCATCCTTATCATTATCATCATCATTATCATTAGTATCTATTTTGTTGTCTTTTTCCCTTGTTCCACTCTATTCTGCGATTACTCTTATCACCGACTGAAGACGAAACAGATAATTCGTTATCCGTAAACCGGTGAATTTATACACAATTAATCTTTCTCTTATGATATATTCTTTTATGTCAAAAGTGAATGTAAAATAACAATCATTTTCACTGTAACTGTCACTGTTTCTTTTATTATCATTATCGCTTTCATTATCACTTATCACTGTTGGTAAGTGATTATGATTATAAAAGATAATGGATACGAAGGAAATTAGAATATATAAATCTATCTATATCTATATTTATATATACCAGATATTTTCAAATCTGTATTCATTTTTCTTTTCTGATTTTATTTTAATATCCGTATGTCTTTCCGGTAAAAGTTTAATATCACTTGTATAATTTTCTCTTTTCCTTTAATATTTTCATCATAAATGAATAAGAGTTTTATGCTCAATTGAATCCTTTTGTAATTGTCAATGAAAGAAATCTTAATGATCAATGTAAGGTTTTCAGGAAACTTTTTGTTCAATAATTTACCAATTCTTATCATTATCACTTATCATTACAAAATATGAAACTTATCGTGTATATATGTTATCATCACCGTAAGAAAACCTAAACGAAATGAAAAACGAAGAAAAATAAAGAAAAAAAGTGGAGGATACTTAAGCAACCCACATCTTGGTTTCGACACTAAGAAGCTACTGTGGAAGCCGGGTTGTATATTTTCACTTGGGTCGAGTTTACTGTCGTTTCCAATAGCTAGAACGGCTTTATAAACCACGTTATGAGAGGGGTTCTTGTGTTTGTGTGTGTGCGTGTGAGTATGTGTGTGTGTGTGTGTATGTGTGGTGTGTGTGTTTACATGTATGTTTATACGTATGACTGTGTTGTGCGTGGGTGCGTGTGTGTGTGTGTGTGGTTGTGTGTGTGTGTGTGTGTGTGTGTGTGTGTGTGGTGTGTGTGTGTGTGTGTGTGTGTGTGTGTGTGCGTGTGTGTGTGATGTGTGTGTATGCCTGTGTATTTACGTGTACAAACATCTCTATTTATGTTTATTTATGTGATAGAATCTACATCCTGCGTGAGATATCGGGCCGCTGTCTGGCTCGTTCGCAAAGATATAATGAAGAAAAAATAAATAACTGTTGTAGTGTTTCCTAAAGCATTTCGTTATATCTATTTATCCGCCGTTATTTATTTACTTTTGTTAATCTTAAGTGTGTGGGTTTTGAGGATGTGTGTGTACG